AAATGGGCTTAAAAGATTAATTAATGGGCTCTATATACCATTTAACGGCCCATTTTGTATTGCAGCCTATTTTACTTGGGAGGACTAGTTATGGAAAGTTAAAGAGAGGCATTATCAGATAATTTATATAGGTTATAGAGACTTAAAAAATGGAAAAAAAACCAGAGGTTTCCGTTTGTTCCAAGAAAGTCCATAAAGACTCTTAGCAATATTTTTATTATTAATTTTGAAAATTTTAAACTTAAGAGTTTAGGTAAGAGTTTTAATTTTTGACATTGTCCAATGGTAGTATCTTAAGTTGGGGTTCTTAAAAAAAATGTTTTGAAGTGATTTGGTTCTTACAAATTTGAAATGTTTTGGTTCTTAAAATTTTAAGTGTTTTGAAGTGTTTTGGTTTTTAAAAAATTTGGTTAAAACATATCTATAGCAAAATATTTAAGTGTATGAAACTAGAGAAGAAAGAAAGAAATTTTGGTTACATTTGAGTGTATGAACTTTAGTGATTGATTTGAGTGTACAAAGTTTTGGTTACATTTGAGTGTATGAACATAAAAGAAATTGAGAACATGGCCTATGCTTGTTCTAAAGGACCGGTAAAAAAAAATTGAGAACATAGCCTATACTTGACCCAATGGGCAAAAAATATTTTCTCGTAAAAATATTCATCGACCAATAAGAGACTGCCACGTCATGGCTCTTATGGGCTCCTAAAACTCTTAGCTAAGAACTGTTTCTTAGTTTTATTTGATGTTTTGATTTAATTTTAATTGTTTTTAGTCAGTTTAAGAACTCTCTTTAAGAGCCACCGTTGGAGGTGGTCTTAGACTCCAAGTTAGACTAAAACCGACTTCGTTTTTTTTTTTTTAACCTTGATGAAATGTGAAATTAATTGATGGGGAAACTAGTTATTTACAACAAATGAATAAAATAAATCAGCCGAGAACAGAGCAAAGCATTGGAACTAAAACAGAGCAACAATCTACTATTAATTTTGCCTTGAGGTAAACCACCTTTGGATGAAACCTCGAAGCTTCATATGCTCAAAATATCTCAACGACATGATTCTCGAACGGATAACTCTCTCAATTGTGCGGACTAATTGAGAATGTGTGCGATATGTCTTGGTGTGCCTTCTTGTTGTTGTAAGCTTGAAATAGCTTGTGGTTCAAGCTAAGTATATTTAGGAGATATCTAAATTTACATATCTAATATGTAAGTTTTCCTTTTCTTTAGGAGATATCTAAAGTTAATTTTCTTATTGTTATGAGGAGTGTTTCTTATATAATTGAGTTGTAGCACAACTTATGAGACTTGTGAGCTTAAGGTTTTTGAGTTTTTTTTCCTTACTAATAAGAGAGTCATTCTTATTAAGCGTTGAGTTTACAAGTTTGTGAAACTAGATTTGGTATCAGAGCGGTTTTGAGATTCACCAGTCCTCGAAGATTAAAATCATCAAGCAAGATATGGTTGATGTTGATGAGAAACATGAGTCGATCAAGGCCAAGGAGAGTGTACCTTTCTTTTCTCTGTTAAGTGTCTGATGCTAAACTCTGCAAATTGCACAATTTGGGCTATGCGAATGAAGATTGCTCTCAACGTAAACAAAGTATGGGAAACCATAGAACCTGGGAACAAAGACGATTACAAAAATAATATGGCGATTACCCTGTTATTCCAATCCATCCCAGAAGCTTTGATTCTACAAGTTGGAGAGCATGAGACGTCAAAAGGAGTTTGGGATGCAATCAATGCAAGACACGTTGGTGCTGAGAGAGTAAAAGAAGCTAGATTACAAACTCTAATGACTGAGTTTGATAGAATTAAGATGAAGGATGGAGACACGGTGGATGCTTTTGCTGGAAAACTTTCTGAAATTTCATCAAAATCAGCAGCCCTTGGAGAAATCATTTACGAATCAAAGCTTGTGAAGAAATTTCTTAAATCACTACCACAGAAAAGGTATATACACATCGTGACATCTCTTGAACAAGTTCTCGATCTTAACACAACGACGTTTGAAGATATTGTGGGAAGATTAAAGGCCTATGAGGAATGAATATGTGAAGAAGAAGAAGAAGAAGAAGAAGAGCAAGATGATCATGGCAAGCTTATGTACGCTAATACAGATTCTCGACAAGAAAGCTATGGGAATAACAGAGGTAGGGGACAAGGAGGATGATATTACTTGAGAGGAAGAGGCCGTGGACGTTTTGGTTCTTTCTAGAACGGATCATACAGACAGGGACAAGACAAAGAAACAGAGGCGATGATAACATTTTTTTGATGCGACAAACATGGTCATTACTGATAGTAAGATTTTTAGGAGTTCTCAATTCCTTAAATTACTATCATGTCATTGCAGTATTTAAGGTGTCAATCCAAATAGGTGTGATGCTAGCAATCAAGATGCAATCAGATTTCACAGAGTCAAGCCAAGCAATAACAGGTTTTTGAGTTTCTAACAGTCCTAGGTGAACATGTAGAAAACAGAAATTCTAACAGAAACAGTAAATATACTCGACCAACATACCTTGAATGCTTAAAACATGCATGCAAAACTATCCTAAACATGTAAAGTGATGACAAATGATGAGAAATGGTATGAAACAATGATGAAATGGTGCTAAAGTGATGACAAATGAATGCTTAAAACAAGTAAAATGCAGACTTATCAACTCCCCCAAACTTAGTCTTTGCTTGCCCTCAAGCAAACAATTAAGAACAAGCTGGAGGAGAGGTTTGAAAGCGGGGACTCAGAACCAAGCTAAGCATCAGATAAAAGATTCAACTTAAAGTCCTTGAGAATATTTCAAAGCTGCATGAATCAAACAATATACTCTTTCGTACTTCTCCATACTTATTTCTATGCATGATTCTAGTTCAACTTCTAGCTATTAGCAAAAACTCACAATCAAGCTGAAACAACTCTTTAACATTCTTTAGTGTTTGGTGCAGTCTCGCAGATGGTAAATGAATCAAACTCAATCGGTTTAGGGACAAAGGCTTTTGAAGGTGGTTTCAAGTGTTTCATTCTTTGGTGGCTTTCTCTCAAAAATAAGAAATGCAAGACAGTCATTAAATTTATCTAAGACCAAGAACATTTTATGCTACAAAGTTCAACTCTTGCTGTTCTACCCATCTTAGATGTAATCTCTAGTATCTACCCTTAGCTCAATCTTCTCATTCTCTCTTTTCCCAGAAACCACTTAGACCATTTGGTCTTTCTTTTAAACCACAACCCTCAAGATCATCTTTCTTTTTTACTAGCCACCTAGGGAATCCTTTTAAACACTTAGCTCTTTCTTAAACTTTTCCTAGACTTTTCTTTGTTCCCAATACTTGTATAACTTTGAAACTTTTTTTTTCTGTTGGGGGAACTAACTCATTCAACTTCTCTCATTTTTAGAGACTTAGAGCTTCTTACTTATGACTTTCATTCCCTAGGGACTCTTTTAAAACACTTAGACCAAGCGCAGTGGCGCATGTAGGCGTCGGGTGTATGTAATTTAATATAGAAAATAATGCAAAAAGTGGCTTTTCAACAACACCCACATGTAGAGTTGCATTCGGGTGTGGGCATTATAAAAAGGGAAAAAATTTTCTTGTCTCTATCTCTCTCTATCTCTCTCTTTTCTCTCTCTCTAATTATAATACTAAAAAATTATTTACACCCATACTAACACATTCACCACTGTGGGTGCTCTTAATGATGAACCTTTCTTTTTCATTCCCTTTTCTTTCTCCCAAACCCATTGATCAACCTTAGATATTGATCTAACCACCTATGTCTTCTCATTCCCAACCTATCAGCTAGTCTTAATAAAGTTCAGGAACCTAGCCTAAAGCAAGAGTTAAAGCCTTGTCGTTCTCGATATTCTCAAAGTTTCACAACCTAGAGTATTATCAAACAAGAGGCCTCACACGTAATTAAATCAAAGGTTTCAAAGAAAGGTTAAGGTTAAGGGCAGGGGAACCATTCTAAAGATGAGAATGGCCATTCAGGTTCACAATAGATTGGCGAAATGGATAAGAAAACTCGAATGAGTCATTTAGACAACCATGAGAATGCATTTAGATACCATAAGCGAGAGAATTAAATCAGTTTAAGTCCAAATTCATAGAGATGTTTTAGAGATCATGTAAGCATCGCACAAGTAGAAATTGCTTTCAAAACATGCAGAAGTCTAAGCATGGATTTTTCATTTTTTCACAGATGACAAAGCAGCGGTTAACTATGCTCAAGGGCTTTAAGTTGAATCCTAAACCAGAATTTCTACAAGGCAATATCATCATAATCCCCAATGCAAATTAATGATGCAACAGTCCTAAGTGATTGCATACTAAACAATCCTACATGACAATGCAAACTACATGAACACTCTTTTTTTGTGAAATCATTTTCAGAAATTTTTCAAATTTTTTGGTTTTTCTATTCCTTAGATGCAATGCAGACTATATGATGCAAAATTTGAAATAACAACAGAATAAACTTCATTAGATAACAAAACACTTCCTGAGCCCTCCCCCAAACTTGAATCACACAGTCCTCTGTGTGATCAAACTTGGAAGAGAGTACTCAGGACAAAAACATCACAGAAACAAAATAAACAGAGGATGGTATTTGACAATGGTGGATGGTAGTGCTTACCTCAATCGAAGTAAGAGCGCATGTGATCATCAATCCCCGCCTGTGACTCGTGCCAGGCCCTTGAAGAGTCTTCCTGTCGTGTTTCAGCTCCTCCTTCCTGTTGGTGCTCGACCTCTCTTCTTTTGTTGTGTCCAGCACCGCGGTCGAGTTATCTCCTGGAGCGCATAAGCCGCGCTGTGCTGTTGGAACGAACAAGTGCAGCCTTCTTTCTCCTCTTGTGTTCCCGAGGCTCGTGTGATGAATGCCTCGTAGGGACATGTGAGACGTCATGCTCACTAGGCTCAGGCCTGTGCTAGCTTGGCTCAGGCTCGTCATATCTCCTCGAGGGCATGTCCTGAGGAGGCTGTTCCTGTGGCATTGCTGTGCTGGAAGAGGAGCAGCTAACCATGGCCTTCAGAGACTTGATACTCTTAAGGCATATGGTGATGAACTTATCTTGCTTCTTGCACCACTTCTGCAACAGGCTCTGGTTTCTGTGAGCTTCACTCAAGCTCTTACTCTCCCTCGCTGGAGCTACATGCTCACTGAAGTGATACATACTTGTATCATACTGCTATTCCCTGTCCTCCTCCATCTCATCAATCTCATCTTCTGCAGCTTCTTCTACAGGAATATCCTCATTCATTGGCTGAGCTATCTCGACGTACAAGTCGTCGACTGCAGGCTCAAATCCGATGTTGTATCCCTCTATGATTCGTGTAAGCTCAGGGCAGAGGAGAATGATGTTGGCCTTCTTGTCTGTGGGATGCTCAAACCGGTATCGATACTTGTCACCAACCATTGCATACTCTAGGAATTCGCAGTGATGTAGGTGCTCAAAATCCATCACTTTTGGTGCATATCCCTTGGATGTGATGGGGACTCCGCACGCAATCAGAATCGGTGTCACCACACCTCATATGCAGAGAGAGCCTCGTGCTCTTTTGTTGTTATCGGTGATAGCCCATTTCTTGTACCCACACAGATGGATCAAAAGGAGTATAGCGAGAGGTGTGTCGCTGGTATCACAGTGCAGAGTCTTACCGTTCTTGGTCTGATGGAGAGTTCCTCTGAGAGCCATTGAGATCATCTCCATATCAGTGTTGGTCACCGTCCCTGTTGCCTCTATGGAGTAGAGGACATGAGCTACTGAGCGCTGGAAGTATCTGATGACGGGGTTGCGTATCTGGTTGCTCTTAGATCTTGAAGAGTTAAGCGTTGCAGTGCTTCCAATGGTGAACCATAGATCCTTCAACTCGCCTCTGTCAAACCTTTGTTTGGTTCCCGTTCCACTGGGGAAACCAAACAATCCTTCCAAGCGCTGGATTGTCAGCATGTAACTCTGCCCATACACGGAGAATGTGATGAACCCCAACCCTTCACTTTCCAACTCGTCTGCAGTCATACCTTGGTAGATTTCCACTTGTAGACTTGAGAGCAGCTGAATTGTTTCATCCTCGTAGGCAACATATGGGTAACTCATTAGAGTGTCCAGGTGACAACTCTGGAATAGATGCTCAACATCTTCCAGTAACCCCAGCTTTTCCAGAGTCTCAGGGCACGAATATCTTGTTCTGCATAACTCATTCAAGTTGAAGAGTCTGATGTACTCTTCAACTGGTAGTTCATCAGGTTTGTTCAGAAGCTTCGTAGCTCTGCGAGAATGCTCAGGCACATACTCGTCCTCCAACTCCTCTAGATCCTCATCTACCAGCTCATACCTTTCTGTCATTGCTCTCTTCCTACGAGCTATCTCAGCTCTCCTCCTGAAACTTTCATATTCCCTCTGTTCTCTTTCTGGTCTTGAAGACCAAGATTCAGCCTCATCGACGTTATAATCAGAATCTGTTGAAGGACCACCAGTGTAGTTGCTCATGTTGATCCTGAGAATGTTCAAAACTCAAAGCTGAACTTCAGTAGGTTAGTCTCAAATAGAAAGGAATAGAGAAAACACGTATGAATTCGGAAATTCAATTGGTTTCAAAAGGATGATGAAGAACCGGTTTTTAAGATCGAGCGAGTTGTTGACACGGCGGTCGAGTGGTTAGTTCGACTTGGTGATCGTTCGCTGTGGTCGAGTATGGCTAAAGCTTCTTCTCTAATGTGTTGGCTGAGAAATTTGATAGCGAGGTTGAGAGTTGTCGTGGCTTCGCGGTCGAGCACGGTTTGAGTGGCGAGGTCGATTGAGAAAATCACCGATGAGGTCGAGTGACTTGAATCGTGATTGGCGGTTGAGAGAAACTGAGCCGAGGTCGAGTAGCGAAGTTGAGTGTCGGCGAGGTGACGAGGTCGAGTGCTTCGTTGTGGAGGAGCTTGAGTGAGTAGCTTGGCGAGTTGAATGATGAAAAGTTGGTGCGGTCGAGTATGGTTGAGGAGACGGCGATTGAAAGGTGAAAACTGAGGCGGTGGTCGAGTAGTGAGGAAACGATGAGACTCTGGTGAGGTCGAGTAATCTCAAGCTTCTTCGCGATTTGAAACAAGTGTGGTGGAAAGGTGGTGGTCGAGTTATTGAGCTGGTTGAATTTGGTTGAAGAAGAGGTCGAGTGTTTGAGCTGTGGTTTCTTTTCCGGTGAAAACGAGTGCGGTTGTGAAGTATGGGGGTGAAAGCGATGGTGAACTTGATGACGGTGGGCGAAGTGTGAAAACAGATTCAAAGAAAAATGGAAGCGTAAGCGATTAGGGAGATGGAGGTGAGTTTAAGATGGAAAGAGAATGATATAGATCAAAAGGAAATCGGTTTGGTAGAGTGGTGGTGGAAATTGAGAGTGTTCTTGAGAGAGATGAGAGTGAAAAATGATGTGAGATGATGAAGAAATCGTGAGTGAGAGAGATGAGAGTGAAAAAGTGTTGTGACGAGAGAGATGACTTTGGCGAAAGGATGAGGGTACGTTAAGGTTGAGTGGTGGAGAAAGAAGGGTGGAATTTCACTTATCTTCAAAAACACGTGGGGAGACAAAAGGGAAAGGTGGTGGGCCACGGTCTGTCTCTTTATCTTGAATTGCTATTCTCTGTTGACTGGAAAAGTCTCAGAACATCCCGCAATCCTCTGTAAACTCAACAAAGCCTCTGTAAGTCTATGTAGCTTCTGTTGGTTGAGTATAATGTTGAATTTTTGGATTAAAACAACATCATACTCGAACTCGTCCTCTAATCACAATGTGGCTTCTGTTGGTCGAGTATAGTGATGATTTTTTAAAATTTTGGGCCAAAATCATCACATATACTCGACCACACTCTTCATTTGGATGTGGTCTCACGCGATAGAGTGACATGTTGAAACTTCAAAAATCTTGAGACTGAAACCCACTTCTTACTCGATTGCACAGCTACACTTGCTCTTCGCAGGATGTGGTCGAGTGTTTTGTTGCATAGTAGAGCCAAAATCCACTTCACTCAGCTCATGACACTTATCTCCTAAAAGCACTACCAAAATGCATTGAAAATAACAAGGAAAGTAAAAATATGTACAGGGATAGACATGGGACTCGGTCTGTCTCTTTATCTTGAATTGCTATTCTCTGTTGACTGGAAAAGTCTCAGAACATCCCGCAATCCTCTGTAAACTCAACAAAGCCTCTGTAAGTCTATGTAGCTTCTGTTGGTTGAGTATAATGTTGAATTTTTGGATTAAAACAACATCATACTCGAACTCGTCCTCTAATCACAATGTGGCTTCTGTTGGTCGAGTATAGTGATGATTTTTTAAAATTTTGGGCCAAAATCATCACATATACTCGACCACACTCTTCATTTGGATGTGGTCTCACGCGATAGAGTGACATGTTGAAACTTCAAAAATCTTGAGACTGAAACCCACTTCTTACTCGATTGCACAGCTACACTTGCTCTTCGCAGGATGTGGTCGAGTGTTTTGTTGCACAGTAGAGCCAAAATCCACTTCACTCAGCTCATGACACTTATCTCCTAAAAGCACTACCAAAATGCATTGAAAATAACAAGGAAAGTAAAAATATGTACAGGGATAGACATGGGACTTCCTCCCAAGTGAGCTTGTTTTAAGTCATTAGCTTGACTTCCTTACTCCCTTAAGCATCAAGAGGTCCCTGGAGATGAACTGAGGTCACCTCTGGAAGGATTTGATCTGCTAAGTATTTCTTGAGCCTTTGGCCATTCACTGTGAATCTCCACTCTTACCAGCTAGAGTGACTGCTCCATAAGGGCGGACTTCAGTAACACAAGGGACCAGACCATCTAGACTTGAGCTTTTCTGGAAAGAGTTTCAGGCGAGAATTGAATAGCAGCACTTGATCACCAACTTGGAAGTCCTTGGTGATGATCTTCTTATCATGGAAAAGCTTAGTCCTCTCCTTGTAGATTTTGGAGCTCTCATAAGCTTCTAAGCGAATCTCATTGGGATCATTCAGTGGGATCAACCGCTTCTCCTCGGCGGTTTTGATGGCAAAGTTCAGGAGTTTCACTGTCCACATAGCCTTGTACTCGAGCTCAACAGGTAGGTGACAGGATTTTCCATAGAAAAGGTTGAAGGGAGTTATACCAATAGGGGTCTTGAAAGCTGTTCTATAAGCCCCCTTGTAATCCCAACAGTCTTGAAAGCTGTTCAATAGTGCGTCATCAAGCTTTGCAGACCAGTCTTTCCTTGTAATCCCAACAGTCTTCTCCAGAATTGCTTTTATCTCCTTGTTGGAGATCTCCACCTGCCCGCTTGTTTGTGGATGATAAGGTGTTGCGACCTTGTATTTAACTCCATGTTTCTTCAGAAGGTTCTCAAAAACCTTGTTGATAAAGTGTTTTCCACCGTTACTGATTACTACCCTAGGAACTCCAAATCTTGGGAAGATTATGGTCTTGAACATCTTCAGCACAACTCTTGCATCGTTAGTAGGACTAGCTATAGCTTCGACCCACTTTGATATGTAATCTACTGCTACCAGTATATACTTATTACTGTATGAAGATGGGAATGGACCCATAAAATCAATTTCCCATACATCAAAGATCTCCACTTCCAAGATTGGGTTTTGAGGCATCTCATTTCTTCTGCTGATGTTTCCCTTCCTCTGGCATGAATCACATCTTGAGAAAAACCCCTGAGCGTCCTTGAACATGGTTGGTCACCAAAAGCCTGCTTGTAGGACCTTTGACACTGTCTTGAATGTTGCGAAGTGGCCACCATAGGTAGAGCCGTGGCAATGTAGCAGGATACCTTCTACTTTATCTTCTGAGACGCATCGCCTATAGATCTTGTCTTTGCAGAGAGTGTAGAGGTAGAGCTCATCCCATTAGTAATGGTGTATGTCCCTGAAAAACTTCTTCTTTTCATAACTGGTCAAGTTGGGAGGTTGTACTCCGCAGGCCAGATAATTGACATGATCAGCATACCATGGAGATCTTCCTTCAACAACAAGCAATTGGTGATACTCATTCCCACTGTAACTTCTTCCAAAGAATTATGTAACCATGAGTTGCTCCTATGGCATTGAATCATCAGTGGGGACTTCATCATCAATCCTCATCCTTGATAAGTGATCAGCTACACCGTTCTCTATACCTTTTTTGTCTACTATCTCCATATCAAATTCCTGCAGTAGTAGTATCCATCTCAACAGCCTTGG